TTCTTTTTATTGGGCAAATTCTGCCGATTTTGACATCTAGGATTTACATATACAACATATATCACTGTCAAGGTCAAGAGTATATTTTTTATTATTTAGATTAGAAAATGAGATTCCAAAATTCAAAAAAAAAAAAATAAGAGACTCAAAAAAAAACGGTTGGGTTGCGCCATACATATGAAACAGTATAGAATAATGATGTATTTGCCAAATCAAATATCATGGTAAAATTGAACAATGACCCATTCGGATTAATTGATAATATTAGTTGATGGATCATTTGTAAAAAGGTTTTCTTAACTCCTAAGTTATGTCGAGTAGACCTTGTTCTTGCTATAATTCTTAATTCATGCGTTGTAGGGGGGGGATTTATGTCACCACAAACAGAAACTAAAGCAAAGGTTGGGTTCCAAGCTGGTGTTAAAGATTATAAATTGACTTATTATACTCCTGAATATCAAACCAAAGATACTGATATCTTGGCAGCATTCCGAGTAACTCCTCAACCAGGAGTTCCGGCTGAAGAAGCAGGTGCAGCGGTAGCTGCAGAATCTTCCACTGGTACATGGACAACTGTGTGGACCGATGGACTTACCAGCCTTGATCGTTATAAAGGACGCTGCTACGAGATAGAGCCTGTTCCTGGAGAAGATAATCAATTTATTGCTTATGTAGCTTATCCCTTAGACCTTTTTGAAGAAGGTTCTGTTACTAACATGTTTACCTCCATTGTAGGTAATGTATTTGGGTTCAAGGCTTTACGCGCTCTACGTCTGGAAGATTTGCGAATCCCTAATGCTTATGTTAAAACTTTCCAAGGTCCTCCTCACGGAATCCAAGTTGAGAGAGATAAATTGAACAAGTATGGACGTCCCCTATTGGGATGTACTATTAAACCAAAATTGGGTTTATCCGCTAAGAATTATGGTAGAGCAGTTTATGAATGTCTCCGCGGGGGACTTGATTTTACCAAAGATGATGAAAATGTGAACTCCCAACCATTTATGCGTTGGAGAGACCGTTTCTTATTTTGTGCCGAAGCAATTTATAAATCACAGGCCGAAACAGGTGAAATCAAAGGACATTATTTGAATGCTACTGCGGGTACATGTGAAGAAATGCTAAAAAGAGCTGTATTTGCTAGAGAATTGGGCGTTCCTATCGTAATGCATGACTACTTAACAGGTGGATTCACTGCAAATACTACCCTGTCTCACTATTGCCGCGATAATGGTCTACTTCTTCATATCCACCGTGCTATGCATGCAGTTATCGATAGACAAAAAAATCATGGTATGCACTTTCGTGTATTAGCTAAAGCCTTACGTATGTCTGGTGGAGATCATATTCACGCTGGTACTGTAGTAGGTAAACTTGAAGGAGAGAGGGAGATTACGTTAGGTTTTGTTGATTTACTACGTGATGATTATATTGAAAAAGATAGAAGTCGCGGTATTTATTTCACTCAGGATTGGGTTTCTTTACCAGGTGTTATCCCTGTTGCTTCAGGGGGTATTCACGTTTGGCATATGCCTGCTCTGACCGAGATATTTGGAGATGATTCTGTACTCCAATTCGGTGGAGGAACTTTAGGACACCCTTGGGGAAATGCACCTGGTGCCGTAGCGAATCGAGTAGCTCTGGAAGCATGTGTACAAGCTCGGAATGAGGGACGTGATCTTGCTCGCGAGGGTAATGCAATTATCCGTGAAGCTTGCAAATGGAGTCCTGAATTAGCTGCTGCTTGTGAAGTCTGGAAGGAAATCAAATTTGAATTCCCAGCAATGGATACTTTGTAATCCAGTAATAATCATTCGTTCTATTAATTTCCATTAAACTCGGCCCAATCTTTTACTAAAAGGATTGAGCCGAATACAATACACAATACAAAAATACTTGTTGTATCTAGAATGAATCCTATAGATCTTTCGGATTGATCTATTTTTTTTCTAGTTCATTCTTCTTTTTTGATTTGGAATAGAATGAATTAAAATAGAAATATTTTCTATTTAAAAATGAGAATAGAAATATTTTTTTATTTGTTTTCTCGATTGTATTCTTTTTTTCAACACTAATATTGACAACAGTGTATCAAACAAATATAATCTGATCGTGAATCAATGGATGGATTGACTCATGTCACATAGGTTTTTTACTTCATCAAATGGTGGATTCATTGTATTTTGATTTTGTTTGATACAAACAAGAAGTTTTTTTTCTTGAAATAGAAATATGAAAAAAATAATACTAATTTAAAACTATATTAATAGACAAATAACTACAGTACTGTACTAAACAAGTCGTCTATCATTTTTGATTCTCATTTTTTCTTTTTTTCATTGTATTGTAATATAATGTAATATGTAACATTTGATTCTATTATTTATAGAATTCCATCTTTTTTTTATTGCGATTGGATATACAGATCCTTGTTTGTAATTTTATTAGGGTTGCTAACTCAATGGTAGAGTACTCGGCTTTTAAGTGCGACTCCATTTTTTACACATTTCTATGAACTAATTGGTTCATCCATACCATCGGTAGGGTTTGTAAGACCACGACTGATCCAGAAAGGAATGAATGGAAAAAGCAGCATGTCGTATCAACGGTGAATTCAAAAAATTTTTCATTCATATTGGATCCGACCAATCTTTTTCTTTGAATTGTTGGCTGGGAACAAATGAATTCCGTTGGGTTGAATTAATAAAGGGATAGAGCTTAGCTGCTCGAATTCTAGGGAAAGAAAAAGCAACGAGCTTTCATTTTTTATTGGAATGATTACCACATCTAGTTATACGTTAAAAAAGGATTAGTGCTTGCTGTGGAAAAAGTTTTTCCCACGAATGGATTAAGGATTTTTGTTATGAGTCCTAATTATTAGCTATTCCCCATTATGTTATGGGGTAGCAAGAAATGTGTAGAAGAAAGAGTATATTGATAAAGATATTTTTTTCCAAAATCAAAAGAGCGATTGGTCCCCAAAAAATAAAGGATTTCTAACTAGCTTGTTGTCCTAGAAAAATTAGAAGGAACAAGCGAGGGGAGATAGTCCATTAATGTGTTTTAACTCGTTTTCTAGGTATCTATTCATATTTGTTTTTTATTTCAATTCGAATATAGATATAGAATACCTTGTTTTGACTGTATCGCACTATGTATCATTTGATAATCCAATGAATCTCTGATCCTTTGACCAAATATCATTTCTAAAATGAAGGAATATAAAGTCTATTTAGAACGAGCTAGATCTCGCCAACAGCACTTCCTATACCCACTTATTTTTAGGGAGTATATTTATGGACTTGCTTATAGTCATAATTTGAATAGATCCATTTTTGTGGAAAATATAGGTTATGACAAGAAATATAGTTTACTAATTGTAAAACGGTTAATTACTCGAATGTATCAACAGAATCATTTAATCATTTGGGCTAATGATTCTAACAAAAATCCATTTTGGGGGTATAAGAATAATTATTATTCTCAAATAATATCAGAGGGTTTTGCCATCGTCGTGGAAATTCCATTTTTCCTACAATTAAGCTCTTCCTTAGAGGAGGAAGAAATCATCAAATCTTATAAAAATTTGAGATCAATTCATTCCATTTTTCCCTTTTTGGAGGATAAATTGACATATTTGAATTATGTGTCAGATATACGAATACCCTATCCTATCCATCTGGAAATCTTAGTTCAAATCCTTCGATACTGGGTGAAAGATGCCCCTTTTTTTCATTTCTTACGGCTGTTTCTTTGGAATTGGAATAGTTTTATTACTACCAAAAAATCAATTTCTACTTTTTCAAAAAGTCATCGAAGATTCTTCTTGTTCCTCTATAATTTTTATGTATGTGAATATGAATCTATCTTCGTTTTTCTACGTAATAAATCCTCTCATTTACGATTAAAATCTTTTAGCGTTTTTTTTGAGCGAATTTTTTTTTATGCAAAAAGAGAGCATCTTGTCAAAGTTTTTGCTAAAGATTTTTCGTATACTTTAACATTCTTCAAGGATCCTAACATTCATTATGTTCGATATCAAGGAAAATGCATTCTGGCTTCAAAGAATGCGCCTTTTTTGATGAATAAATGGAAACACTTTTTTATCCATTTATGGCAATGTTTTTTTGATGTTTGGTCTCAACCCAGAATGATCAATATAAACCCATTATCCGAACATTCATTTCAGCTGTTAGGCTATTTTTCAAATGTGCGACTAAATCGTTCAGTGGTACGGAGTCAAATGCTGCAAAATACATTTCTAATAGAAATTGTTATCAAAAAACTTGATATAATAGTTCCAATTATTCCTCTAATTAGATCATTGGCTAAAGCGAAATTTTGTAATGTATTAGGGCAGCCCATTAGTAAGCCGGTCTGGGCCGATTCATCTGATTTTGATATTATTGACCGATTTTTGGGAATATGCAGAAATCTTTCTCATTATTATAATGGATCCTCAAAAAAAAAAAGTTTGTATCGAATAAAGTATATACTTCGGCTTTCTTGTATTAAAACTTTGGCTTGTAAACATAAAAGTACTGTACGCGCTTTTTTGAAAAGATCAGGTTCAGAAGAATTCTTGCAAGAATTCTTTACAGAGGAAGAAGAGATTCTTGCTTTTCTTTTTCCAAGAGATTCCTCTACTTTGCAGCGGTTACATAGAAATCGCATTTGGTATTTGGATATTCTTTTCAGTAACGATCTGGTCCATGATGAATGATTGGTTATGTTATGATACTTAAATATCTATTTCAATATATATATAGAAAGGATTTTGAAATGTTCATGTAGTTTAGAGTTGAGTTTCAAGATTCCTCTGAAGTAACTCAGGTTTAGATGTATACATAGGGAAAGCCGTGTGCAATGAAAAATGCATGCACGGCTTGGGGAGGGATTTTTTATTGTTTTATTTGATTAAACAATGAATTTTCTACTCCATCCGACTAGTTCCGGGTTCGAGTCCCGGGCAACCCATTATAATGAATAGATAAATTGTA